GAAAATGTGGCTTGACGCGTGGCGGTAATGTTCGTGGTGACGTTGCTTGGTAAAACTGTAATGTTACTGCTGGTGGAGTTTGGAGTAACCCTGATTCCAGGTGGCGGTGATGCGATAGCTGATTCAGTGCTAGTACTTGCCACTGAAATGTTTGTTTTTAATTGGAGATCTTGGAATATATGTGTATTGCTTTCCGTTAGAGTAAGTAAAGGGTTGACTGGCTTCACTTTACCAGTGATGTCCAGATTTTTGGATTGCTTGTTTTCGAACTCTCGTTGATGTTTTGATGTTTGTTTCTTTTGAGATTCTTTTTTGCTTCTTTGTTTTTCTTTTTGGTTCTGTAATTCCTTTATTTGGTGCTTTTGGTTCTTTGAATCAGAAAATCTATTCTTATTACCAATATCGTAGATTTTAGCGTGGTACTTTTTCGCGTTGTCCGTGTCGCTATCAGTGGTATTAATTCTGTTTTTAACGATTTCCAAACTATTGAACACTTCTTCGTTATCGTCGTCGTCGTCGTCGTCGTCGCGATACTTGTGGCCGTTATTATTATTATTTATGGAAATATCATTGCGTTCGTTGTTGTTGTTGTTGCTACTGCTGCTGCTACTGCTGCTGCTACTGCTGCTGCTGCTGCTGGAATCATCCCAGTTCCAACGGCCACCACTCTCGCCACTGCGACTGTTAACGTCAATGGCTTTTGTAGTCCAACCACCTGAGCCAGTCCCGGAACTACTACGCCTTTCCGTTGTAGCACTTAAAAGATTGTTTTGGCTGGCATTATCCTCGCTTTTTCTTTTGCGTTTCGTAGCACCGGCGGGGATAATCCTTGTGTTATCTATTGCAATACACTCTCTTCCAACACTTTTGGTATTTCTCCGATAAGTGGGGTCGTTGGTGGAATTTTGGTTATTAATTGTCAAACGGGCTGTTAAATTAAAATCATTAGAATCCACACTTATTTTCTTACTGACAACAATTGAAGAGGCTGCATCAGAGTTGTTATCAACGGGCGAAATGGTATTAGTCGTACTTGTTTGCAAGTTATTGACGAGGGTAGAGGAAGAGGGGGGAGGGATACTGTGGGTATTGTCGATGTGTGTACGGGTGCTGGTAGCGGTGGTTGCAGAGTTGACAACGCTTTTAACTCCCACTTTTTGGTTATTTTTATGGGAGGAGGATGTTTCCGACCGGCGCTTGTTATTGTTAAAAAATAGGGTAGTAGTCACAGTGGTGGTGTCGGTATCTGTGTTCCTCTTGTCTTGGTTGGGGACTGAATTTTCTGCTAGCGAATTCCGAGAAAGATTCACGGCTCCCTGCCGTCTGTCCTGTTTATACCGGTTGTTATAGCGAGTGACTCTGTTGTGAGACGAAGCTGCTTTGCTGCTTGCAAATTGGCTTCTTCTGTTCATTGCACACGAAATTGGTTTAGATTCCTATCAGATTTGCTTTTTTTTTATCCTCCCACTTTCTGTAGTTTTTTTTAATCCCTTTTTGTTTACTTTTTGTTCCTTTTTTTTTTTTTTTGTCTTTTATTATTTCGTTAAAAAACAGTTCCTGTATGTTTTTCTGTAAATCCGATCCAGTATGCCTACGTGTTTTATATTCTCTGTTCATGAAAATGTTTTTTATGGATATACTTTTAAAAAGAAGTGTTTAAATTTTTCAGCTGTTTTTATATATATATATATATATATATATATATATATATATATATATATATATATAAAGTTGGTGTTAGTCTGCGCGTAAAGCGTCTTTTACTCTACGCTTAAAAAAGATAATCCAATTTATATGAGTGAGAATGAATGTCTGCATGTATGAGCAAGTTTCGTTTTATTTCAGATTGTATCCGTATGTGCGTGTCTGAGCGAATCTGCGTGTCGAGTGATATATACTGTCATAAATGTAAATATTCAACTGTTTTTATGTATATACACCTATTTTATATAGTTTGATTCTGATAATTTTCATTTGATACTACGTATATACATATATATATATATATATATATATGTGTGTGTGTGTGTGTGTGTGTGTGTGTGTGTGTACCTCTGTATATATATATATATATATATATATATATATATATATATTTGTAAATTCACTGTTTTTTATTCATTTTAATTATGTGTACACATATTTGTAATTGTTTTACAAAATTTTATATTGAATATGTGTGCCTGCTTTGGTTGGTTACCTACTTGAATCCGTGTGTGTATTACGTTTCAGGTGTTTATATATCGATTAATATTTATAAGTTATATACATCGGAGCACACATATGAGCAAGTATTTAAGCCTTTTTTTATATAAATAATCAGATTATAAATCAATGAGTTTGTAATTCAAATAATAGAATTAAAAAAAAACAACTCTTCATGAAGGAGAGAATTTTTTTTTTAAATATATATAATAAGATTATCTTTAACACAAATACATATTGGAACTTGATATATACTGCAACGATTGTACTGTCAGTCGTATCTAATTTACAGAAGATTTCTTTGCGCAAATATCGTAATAAGTCACGTGTTTGCCAAGTACCGCGAGGATAAGATGGCTACTTAATCCTCTTCGCAACAATTCATTACGTGTAATCAATCAACAGATACCAAGCAACAATTACAATAGTGTTTTTTTTTCTTAAATTTATTATTAGACATTGATCATTATCTCCGTTCTATAATTTATACACTTATGTCACTGTCATAATTTTGGCATTAATTTACTTTAATTAATATTTACCAACATCAAATGGAGTACGGAGTTATTATTATTATTATTATTATTATTATTATTATTATTATTATTATTGCTGTACAATGATTCAAACTGGCATCATTATTACTTTTTCTTGGGGGTTATGGTGGTATCTTTGATTATCGAATATTTTATTTGAAGTTGACTAATAATGAATAGTCCATTAAGTTTGCAATATAATACACTTAATACGACGGTAATAATGGTATAAAAAGTATCAAAAAAAGATAAAAAGAGTTATTTTTATGCGTATTTCTTATAGTAATTTTGTTATTTTATCTATTTTAATTTTTATATAATAGCTACTGTTTGGAAATCAACATTTTGAAGAAATTGATGTTAGGTTTATGATACAATTTTTATTTAAATTTTAAACTAATAGACGTTAAAATGAAAGCAAATAAAAGTGTGGTTGTTCTAAAACTACGAGCGGTCAAAGTCTCTGAATGTTTCCAAGTTCATAACTGACTGCAATCATGGATAAAAAGCTTTAATATCGAAAAAGAATTTTATCCGGTAGTCATAGAGAATAAAAAAAAAAGCTTCACTCAGCAATCATAATTTGTGTTGTATAACACACGAGTACAAGATAATTAATAAAAATGAACTAGAATTTTTTGAAACCACACAACCTATAGGTATGAGCAAAATAAAGTAACGAAACAATATCTAATATATTTTACGTGTATACGGGTGTGTTAATACTTTCGGCCGCATATACTTAGCTGTATATGTATTGTATTATATGAATATTTTTCTTAGACAAGCACAATGCCTATTTTTTAAAGACGATATGTTTCATGACGAAAAGATTTGAATTAATAATGTCATATTAGTTTTAGACTCGAAATAATTTAAATAATTCATTTATTGATCTCATTGACTATGTAGTACTCTTTTTTTTACCGTGTCTGGGATGTTACTTTATAAAATCCTTAAAAAGCATTCAGTGGGTTAATGACAAAGGCACTTTTTGTTTTATATTTCTAAAATATGAGATATGGATTAATATGGATTAATATTTTTTCTTCACACTGACATTACTAAATTTATTTAACTGCTTCCAGTCACATACGAAAACTACAAATTTTAATATTTTTACTACACACACACACACACACACACACACACACACACACATATATATATATATATATATATATATATTCTTGTAGGTAGGTGTTAAGTTTACCATATGATTCACTGTGTTGTAATATATGATTTTTTATGAATATTTATTTTCTATATTTGAGGAAGCATATGTTGTATGTCTATATGCAAAATGAAAAGAAATATAGAGGAAGTAGAATGTATTAATAAACATTCAGAAAAATTATTTTTCTTTCACTCAGTTTCGTGTTTAAAGCGATAATGATGAGTTCTGTCGCTGTGAAAATGTGAATGTTTGTATGTGTGAATGTGTGTATGCGTGAATGTTTGTATGCATGAATGTGTGCATGTGTGAATGTGTGTATGCATGAATGTGTGTATGCATGAATGTGTGTATGTGTGAATGAACATTAATCATTGAGTGCATGGGCTTCGACTAAATACAGATTAATGATGATTTCTGTTTGGGATTTAATGCCCATGTCGGTTCGTTAAATTGTGTCATTTGTTTTTTCTTTTTTGCATTTTTTTTAACCATTCGGAGTACCTTGATTAAATTCGTAAGTAAACACATGTGATATCCATTAAAAGAAAAATAAATAAATAATTCTAGATGACGAATAAAAAAAATAATCTTGTAAATTCTCCTTTCTAAAATGTCGATAAATAGTTACAATGATGTATATTTTCACATTTTTTGTATTGATGTCGGAGTTAAAAGAATAATTAAATGAATATGTGTTAGGCGTGATTAACCATGCGATGCAGACCACTCTTCTCTCTTTTCATGTTATATTGTTCTCTAATTTGACATATGAGATTTTATAACATTATTATATAAATGTTTTCCGTTACTTTTATAAGATAATCTAAGAGAGAAGACTAAAGAAAATACAAGCGCTTATTTACAGTATTTTATATACATTTAAATAATCATTCGTGTATTAAACGTGCACTAGCTGTATATATTATTATTATTATCATCATCATCATTATTATTATTATTAATAATAATAATAATAATAATAATATAAAAATCCGCTACTCAGTCTTTATAAGCTCTGTCGGCATTTAGTCCTCTGTTTAAGCTTTTAGGTTATTTTAAGCTTCTGCTCATATTCTTACTATTTAGATAGATAGATAGATAGATAGATAGATAGATAGATAGATAGATAGATAGCAAAAGATATGTTTAAGTGTGTTCATCGAGCGCGTTAAAGAACATGATTGCGTATATTTAAAAATGCGTCTCGATGATTGTTTTGGTGTATATGTACGAACCTATATAACTATAAGTATACATACATACATACATACATATATATATATATATATATATATATATATATATATATATATATATATATATATATATATATATATATATATATTAATATATGTATACATAACACATTTTGTTTTCAACAAGCTGATAATTATGTTATTAAAATTCAATATTTTAATATACCAACTATATAATTTTATTGTATATGATTATATGTATTTGTAGTGGAAGTACACATTTTACTGTGTTTATATTTAAGCGTGCATAAATGCGTACATATGATATTTCTGTTCAAATGTGTATTGATCTCAATGTATCTACATGTGCTGTGTGTTTATACGCACATCTGATTGAATGTCGAGGGCATTTGCTTTAAGATCGCTACTTAAGAATGTCTGTATCATTTTACATTTGAAGACTGTACAAGCGAATATATACGTCTGTACAACATATGTGAGTGAATCTCTCTCTATATATAACAGCAATAGCGAATATGTATACTAAATGGTTGCACGTGCATGTCTGTACTTGCTGTAATGTATATGCATTCAATGCGAGTTTGTGTGTGTGTGTGTGTGCGTATGTGTATGTTTGTTTAAAAGTCAGATTCTGAAAGCGAACGAAAGAAAGACAGAATAAAAGAAAAAGTATGGCCAAAAATACTGTGCTAAAGTAAAAGGAATTAAAATTGAAAACCCAAAAAATACAGAGTATGAAAGAGTCAATTGTTTAATATTAAATTATAAACTTTCTAATTATCAAAGTTATCAAGTACACACAATATATTCCGCCACTTTCTAGTCAATAGATAATTATTTTTACGTCTACTCTTGAAAGTCTACGGAAATGTGGCTCCTTTTATTTATTTTTACAGAGAAACAACGTCCGCAAGTGATGAAATATATTAAGTTTTTATTTTCTTTAAACGGCTGTTTGCCTGTCTGTTAAAACAATTTCAAGTCTAAAATTGTGTACGTGTTTCTGTAAGTGAATTTGAATGAATGCGTATGTTTGTGCAAATTTGCGATTCTAAGTTTACAAGGACGGTGTATGTTAGCGAGAAGACGTTGATATAATTATTTTTTTTAATTCATAGACACCTCAATTGTTTTTTGTTCATTTTCTATCTACGTGCACCGTTCATTATTATTATTATTATTATTATTATTATTATTATTATTATTTAGTAAATTTCAATTACTGTTTTCAACGTGAGTTCATATATGTTGACATTTCTGAATCCGTGCCTGTACGTACGTCTGTGTCGGCTTATGTGTGCATGTCACTATATTTGTATAAAATAACCGATATATTTTATAATTGAATACTATTCACAAATGTCTATGCTGTCAAAGATTTTACATACATACATACATACATACATACATACATACATACATTCATATATATATATATATATATATATATATATATATATATATATATATATATATATGTGTGTGTGTGTGCGAGAAGATAAGTTTGTACTTTATGGTAAGAAGTGTTTTTTACTTAAAAAAACTATTACTATTTCTTACGTTAATTTCTTTTTACATAAACGTTTCTATTTGCTTACGCTGGTATATTTTTGAGTGCTTTTAAAACAAAAAACACTCCTTTGTATTTTCAGTGTGCTCGTCTAATTATTATGAACTTTAGACAATTTAAGACAATGCTCAAATTTCACATAATAACAAAACAGATGTATGTATATATGTGTGTACGTATGTATGTATAGAAGCCAGTTAAATTTTTGCCTTAAATTATTCCGATGTAGATTTAGAAATCGATAAAAAAAGTTTATTTCAACGTAATAATTTTATTTGACTGCATGCTTGCTATCGGTACTGGAAATGTATTTTTCTACTTTTATTGTTGTTGTTTTTGTTGTTACCACTATTATTATTATTATTATTATTATTATTATTATTATTATAAATGGACTTTCAGCGATAATGCTATAAATTATTTCAACAGCAGATATTCAAGATATTCGTCATAATACCTTTATTATATAATAAAGATAATTATGAAGTACTGTATGGTTTTCCAAACGTCTATCTAAACATGTGAGGGATGTTCAGTATGATTATTTGTGCTTACTATTAAGGGTTATTTTGAACTAATAGTGTATCATTAGAATTTAAACCCCTTTTAAAGTGAGCGTCAAATGAACATTATATGAAAATATCAATGAAAAACTCTAGATAATGTCCAGATGGAAGTACAAGGATATCGAAATACAACAATTATAATTACAAAAAAAAAAAAATAATAATTTTCAAGAAATCAAATCGACAACGTTCAGTAAATGACTTAAGTAAGAAAAAATAGATATAGAAATTCTCATCATGTGCAGATGCATTTATTACTACGGGTTTGAATAGATGTGTATCATCAGATATATGTTAACTTTGTTTAAACTTTAATTATATCTGTGCGCTTGCACATCTGTACGTTTTTGATTGAACAATTTATACAATCCCCTTCTCTTCCACTATCTTTATATATATGCGTGTGTCTGTTTGTGTGTGTGTATGTGTGTGCGTGCGCGTGCCCGTGTGTGAATGCGTGTGTGTATGTGTACGCATGCGTTTGTGTATGTGTGCTCGCACGCGTGTTTCTGGGTATGATCACATGCTTATGAGTATATAAGGAGTAGATTTGAGGTTTGTTTGCCCATGTTGGTTTATATTCCTGTGTATTTCTATGCAGTTTTCTCACCGGCAGAAGATGTAAAAAAAAAGCAATTTTTAAAATGTCACGGGAATATATATAATATATACACACACTTACGCACACATAGATAGATAGATAGATAGATAGATAGATAGATAGATAGATAGATAGATAAATCAAGTGAGAAAGTGATGAGATATTTGCTTTGTGGTAAAAATTCACTCGTTAATGTATACAAACCAAACACACTTTTTCGAGCTGAAGTTTTTTGTATCCATTAATATGTATTTATATTTTGTATGTATGCACTAGTTTATGAAAAAAATGTGTTTGATTTTCAATTTGGTGAATTCCATTTATATATATATATATATATATGTAAAAATTAATTAGTCGGAAAATCTTTTCATCAGCTGTAAGTTTCAACTTCCTGTTTATAAATGCGCATGAACTGTTTTTGATATTTCAGAATGACGAAGGAAAATGAGATCACAACTCTATATATTTAGATTTTTTCCATAGATATTTATACGTGTATGCGGTTGTGTTATTATATTTCTCTATATGCAGTTATATATTTAAATATTATTCATTTTTATGTAGATGGGATTACATTATCAAATATTTACATTATCTGAGTGCGTATTTTTATGCATGTTCATTGATAGTATGTGTGTGTGTAATATGTATCAATGTTTTTAAATGGATAACAAATAAAATCCTCAGTTTTATAAATACGTATATATATATATATATATATATATATATATATATATATATATATATATATATATATATATAGTTGTGCTTATAATTGTTTTATATGCGTGTGTGAGAAATGTGTTAATATCTGTTTGTTGTTGTTATTTTCTATAAGCGTTATCGCAAAGTGTGTTTATGTCGAATTATATATGTATATATCTACACAGTGTGCTATATTTGTACACGTGCTTAAAGAGGTCAAATATCCATCTGCATGTATTGATATATGCAAATATTTATAGTGATCATATATTTATCGTTTTCAGTCTGAACATACTTTATAAGCCCGTTTATCAAGCATTATAAACAATTGAATATCCTTTTGTAGTTATCTAATTGTTTGCTAGGCATTTTTCAGTTTCACAAATAGATAAATATTTACTTGAAAGTATGATTTCTGAAATTTGTTAACGTATAAGTATTTGTATTTCAGTCTATTTCCTTATAACTGTAATGATATATGCGTTAATGTACATTTATGTGCGGGTGTAACTGAATGTTTGTGTGTATAAACGATTTACAGAATACCCAAAAAATATTTAGAAGCGAACTAAACCCGTATGACTGTCAGTTAGGCATCCATCCATCCAACCGGTACGTACCATATTCTTTGCCGTTAATGCAGGCGTCATCGCTTTAAAAGTGACATCACCATATCAGTATATCGACAACCACCACCACCACCAGCACCATCAAGATACGATCACTGCCACTAACCGGCAGTAAACATTTAAGGTATTATTGTCTTGGAAAAAGCAAACAGAAACAAAAGAGCGAGAAAGAAGAAAAAAATAGTGTAAAGAATCCACTAACTGTGGCAGCAGAGTTCTTATTGTAGCAGACACTACTTCCAGGGTGGAGCTATTTGGGATAACAACTTGAGTTTGGTGTGGTTTACAGGATGCCGTGTCGAGTCCATCTTTTCACGGTGAGAACGGAACTATCAGACGGAAGAAAAGCAATACTCAGAGACAGAGAGACAAATGAACTTGCAGACAGGCAAGCAAGCACGTAGGAGACAAAAAAATGAATGAAATAGAATGCGAAGTTCAAAATCTATTTGTCGTGGTTATAGAGATTAATTGGGTTGATGTGTATAAGGATGGAGTAACACAGTTGGTTAAAAATCTGAGAAATAATATTAAATGAGAAAACAAGGAAGAAAGGTGTAATTGACTAAGGATGAGCTTGTTGGCGTGGAGAATGAGAACGCGTAAAAGATGGAGGGGGGTTGCAGGCTGTGGAAAGACGCTAGCAGAGCAAGGGATTAGAGGGGCTAAAATGAAGAAGAGAGGGCCTGATGAAATGGCATGTAGACGGAAAGAAATAGCGGGAAAGCGGAAAGAAAAGGAGAAAGAAAGAAAGTAAAAGGAAGAGTGAAAGGGGATAACTAGAATAGATCTAATGCAATTAAGGCGTGACAAAGAAAATCTATCAAACAGAAGAAAAAAGAGAAGAGAAAGGAAAGGAGAAAAGGAAAGAAAACTGTAGAAATTAATTCAAAATTTGAATGAAAGTATCTGTTTAGATATGTAATAAGCCGGAAAAATATAAATAAAACAATAAAATATAGGAAAACAATTTAAAACAAAGGTGAGTAGTGAAAAAAGAAAAAGAGAAGCTAAAGGAATGGGAAGTGTCGATGTGAGTTAATTTTAAAGGAGGAAGAAAATGCAGAGGCAAAAAGTAAAAGACGATAAGAAGAGGAGAGAAATGAAAGAATAAAATTAACAGAGTGTGAAAACAAACTTTAGAAGAAAATAAAGAATTGGACGATGAATCTTAAAGTATAACAGAACCATGGGAAAGTGGAAGGTCGACAAAACAAGTGGTAAAAATGTTTGAGGAAGAAACAATAAGAAAAGTTGAAAGAAAAAAAGAAATTAAAAAAGAAAAGAGTGGAGTCAGTTGGAGAGAGAAGAGCTGAGAAGAAGGAAGTATTTTGAAAATGAAAAGAAAGAGAAATGATAATAGGGAGGTAGTGAGATATTTCGAAAACGAAACAAAAAAGACAAAAAAAAAATAATAAACACGTGAACAGAAAAGGAGAAAAAAACGAAAATTCACAAAGAAATAAGGTTAATGAAAACAGAATGAATAAAAGGCAAACATTAAAAGAAAAGGATGAAAATTGTTTTTAAAAAATAGATAGGAGGTAAAATAAGTATGAAAAAGAAAAGAAAATCAGAGGCTGACAATAAAACATTTAGAGTAGCCAGAGATAAAATGAAGATGAAGAGAGAGGAGAAAGTAAAATAACGGACAAATAGAGTGAGATGTTTCAATGTAGAAACGTAAGGAAGAGGAAATGTAAATGAAAGCAACTCATAAAAGGCTTGAATAAATGAGAGAAATATGAATGAAGCTATATAAGGGGAAAAAGGGAAGGTTAAAAACAAATAAAAAAGAAAATTATTTTTCTCGTACTGCAAGGAGAATAACTATGAAATTAAGATATTTGCAAATGTCGTCATTGGATTTGACTTGGCAGTGATGATGTCGATAGTAATTGGGGAGGAGCAGTAGCCGGTGAATGGGGGCGTGGGGATAGAATGGTAGAAGGAAAATGATATTAAAGTTACTTTTTTTTTAATAGTCAGGGATTTTTAAATGTTCAGCTTGAAGGGCCCTACTTTTTGTTTATTTTTACCTGCCAGAAGGAGAATGTTTATTATTAATTGAAGAAGAGACACTGATTAAAATATTCGATATATTTATTGCAGAATTGTAGTATGTTATGTATACGGCTATATTACCTACCTGCTAGCTCCGATTAGAGATCAAACAACAGCAAGCGTCCTCAATATTTCAACTGTATTATTATTATTATTATTATTTTCTTTGATTTCTGGCGTTTACACATTTCTTTCCGGTTCCCGCCCAGGGAGCTAAGGTTAGAAATGGCATCATGACACTTTCCACTGACAAAAAAAAAAAAAAAAAAAATTAAATTAAATTACATAGATAAAGCCCTTCGTAAAGTGTGGGCTGTACTTGTCAGAACAATTTTTTGTATCTCCTTGAGGCATGGACTTCCAGGAATCCCTTCAATTAGTCTACTGCAATCTTTTCCAACCAGTCCTAGGGCTCTAATTATTATTATTATTATTATTATTATTGCTTTTATTGTTGTTGTTTTGTTACTGTAGTTGTCTTTTTTGCGAGAAATTAAATTAAAATTTTCTCAATATCTTCGCAAACCCGTTCACCCCCTTGCCTTGTATCATCTGAATTTTGTCTTGAATCTCAATTCTAGTGTTTTTTGGCTGGCGCAGAAGAGTCCACTGTTCATTATTATTATTATTACAATTATTGTTGCTATTATTATTATTATTGTTGTTGTTGTTGTTGTTGTTGTTGATGTTGTTGTTATTATTATTATTATTATTATTATTGTTAATTGTCATATTATTATTATCAATATTATTCATGCAATTGCATTTTTCGCGACAGGTGTCTAACAGTTGTTGTAGGTGATCAAGTGACAGCAAGTCTCCTCAGAACTCTCGTTATTGTTATTCTTATATTTAGCATAGTTCATGTTCTCATAATTGTCTGTTATAATGTACACTATTATGATGACCAATATTATGTACAATTTTAATATTATTATTATTATTTAAGTTAATAATAATATTAATCGCATTAACAATAACAATAATAACAATAATAATAATAATTATTATTATTATTATTATTATTATTATTTCCTTTGATTTTTGTTATATATATATATATATATATATATATATATATATATATCCGGTCTCAACCAGAGACAAAAGGTCAAAAATGGCTTCATGAAATTTTTCACTGATTATTTTTGTAAAATAATAATAATATTATTATTATTATTATTTACACGCTGTATCTTTAACCCAATAATAATTAGTAGCTAACAC